TGCATGCTAATCATTGGATGAGAGGGCTATAGTTTGCAACAAAGCCTTAGCAACTTGGCATTTTATTTGGCGTTGCTGTCAATGGAATCTTACATTCTGTATAATGTACGACTATTTTTCCCTTGAATGGACTAAAAAGGGAAGTTTGAACATTGAAAGGTTCACAAGCACAACAGTGGTTTCTTCTGAGGCCGATCAAATCTATTTTCACCAACTTTTCCTTCGATAGGCATGACACAAGCCTCTATACATCTAAAGGCTATTCTGGGAAATAAAATTTCATTAAATACATTAAAGTGAGACTTTTGAGCACTCTAACCTGACATCATAGATATCGTATCGAGATAGGGTAGTATGGTTACACACACAAATGTGCGCAAAATTCCTATAAGTATGCGTATTTTACTGCACTAAATTATATCAAATATAATGTTCTCAGTTTGATAGTATTTGCCCTAACCGAATGAAAATAATACATTCTGGTATTCGGTCATCCACTAAAATTGTAGCTTCAAATAAATTTTGACTATGTAGGATTTCAAGACTATCAGCAAATTTTTAATAATTGTTTAGCTTCCATCTCGAGTGAAAGTGTTTGGTGAAGAGGTTCGAAGGTTGCTTCCAACATAAGACAACGGCGGATTCCTTTTGATCAGCTGTCGATTGGCTTTACTGGAACATTCATACTGACGCTATTTCCGAGGTAACCTCCTTCGATTCATGTGAAAAGGTGCGAAGCTTTTGTCCGTCATATGACGGACATCATCAGAGCGCAGTATCATCGTCACAACAAAATTTATGCAAACGAGTCAGGAAACCTCACCGGCAAATCCTTAAAAAGCTGTATATATACTCAATATATGGCCTCTTTGATGAGGTATAAAGTGACTTGGTTGGTTACAGTCATATGTCAACCTCGAAGCCTGTAAGTGTGCCTGTCTCTGTATGTCAATGTACCTGTCTGTGTTCGCTTATGCACGAAACCAGAAGTGATGGCTCAATGTAATCAGGACAGCAAAAGTAACGTCTGTTCTCGGCCATCAAGGTTTGATGACCACTATCTTCCTCTTTCTACATACATGTTATAAACATTACTCTGAATGCGTAAGGCAAAAGTTGATTAACCTTTTTGTGGACTTCATGCTAGAGAGAAAGAGTTAGCTAAAGGTACAGAGAAGTGACTATGATTAGAACCAAGACAAGAAAAGACTAGATTCGAAGAGAAACTGGGTTTCGATGAATCGTCTTAGATAACATTGTTTGAGGGACTTTCATTTCGTATGAAACTGCATGAAGAAGAGGACGGATGAATCTCGCTGTACAGCAGCCCTTTGGCTTTTATACGATGTTCTGGTTGACACAGTCCACGAGGCTGCGAACTAATCGCAATTTTCAGCTCTTAAACCAGCATGGCGAGTCCTAGCCAATCAACTTAATAAGACAGTTCGCATAAACTTCCTAAGTCGAAGTGAAATTTTGAAGTGACATGACTAAACTCCGATGAGTAAATCGTGAAAAACTAAATATCTCTTATTGCTTTTACTCCGTTGCTTTGTATCTCTTCACTCTTCACCTAACACTAGGATTTGCAAATATGTAACGTCATTCATTGCTTCTCGACACAAAGATATTCCACAAGATTTCATACAATAACCGGCCAATTCTTTTTGGTCTCTTACCTAGAAGTTAATATTTTCCGAAAATGAGAGATGTTGAATTATTTATATTTTAAGCGAGAGGTTCTATAAACAATAATTTGATCACGATTGAGAATTTGAGTCGCTTAAACTAATGAGATGCATCATATTTTGAGTTTTTACGTCAAAACGAGGATATGTCTCGCAATGCCACTGCATTTTACTTGGCCTCGCATCCTAACTTTCTTTCTAATCCGAGCTGGACTGCCGCCTAAACCACGCCTTGCACGTTTAAAACGATCAAGGGTGACTAGGTCAATTTTTTTAATAAAGTAATTAGATTATGAAATATTTAATCCTTATTGTCCATATAACTTAATCCGCATGAGATGATAATGCATTGTTTTCTCATACAATGAGTTAAAACAAGCATGACTTATAGAGGAAGTAACTAAAAATATTTTGTCAATTAAATTCTGAGGCAAAGAAAACGGTGCTTAAATGGCTTGCTCATTGAAGTGAACCAGTCACCAGGGCGAGAAAGTATCAAAATGTCACATAGACTTGGCATTCAGATATGCTGTAGAATGCGTAATGGTGCCTAAAGTTTCTTGTAGAGATACACACTCAAGAAATGCTTCCTTAGGCTTCATCAATTTGAGCCTCCGCTTCCAGGCAAAGAGCAGGAAAGTTGCGCCTCGCTTCTTCTCTCTTCTAAAAACGTGAATTCAAAGAGGTGCCTTAGCACTTGGGGCCACATTGTGAAGTCTGTTTTTGTTTGGCCCGCCAGCTTCCGTGCAAGTAGCGGAAGGTAGGTGAATTTAACGAGGAATTGAGTCACTCCAGCAACATTTAATCTATTGGCCCTTACCACCCCCAGCCAATAATGGAGGGAAAATGTTTCTTTATATTAAATGGAAATTGTCCTCTCTTACCTAGTCCACACATGATGGCGAAGGTGCAAGAACTAAGGCACGTCACATAGCCAGTCGAGAGGTTAAAGGTTTCACAAATGTCGGGAAAGAAAATCGGCAGGCTGCTGAGAATGCCTCCAGTGATGGCGTTGCCAAGGAAGGCGCCACAGGCCACCAGCCAAGCAGGCAAGCGGTCGATCGACTGGATCCTACGTCGCAGAGCCGCTTCTTGGCTAAAGATACGAGATAGTTCGTTCTGCCCAAGGGTTGAGCAAGCCGAATGCAGGATAAATACATAAAAAATGAATAAAATTACATCATAGAATTCCTACAATTGGGTTGACCTCCGTTTCTAACTTGGTTGAGACATCATGGCGACCTTAAAGCACTTACCTCCTCTGTCATAATAATCATGCTAATTTACAATATAGGAAGATTGACTTGGTAGATTTACAGAATTTGGGCTTCAAAGAATCTTTTAACAAATGAATATTGACGTACTTTTAACTTTTCGTTTCATAAGTCGGCTTTCGAGGCTACCGGTAGATATGATATAAACGCTGTATTCATCCCATTTTGTTTTAAAGGTGATGATAGGCTGGTAGTTGAATCTTTCCACAATAATATAAATAGGCCTCACATTTTTATTACATTCAACATAGTCTTTCATCCAAGAAAGAATAGACTGCAATTTCAACCTCGCCTAGGTTTCATCCACACCTCCATCTGGACTCCAGCCCCACTCGTGGTAGTGTCCGGTATAATTTTGACATGGTAACGACTACGCCACACCCGTCCACGTGTCGAGATTAAACGGTGTAATAACATAAATGGGGTGCGAGTCCAGCTGGGGGTGAGGATGAGACCTAGGCGAAGAAAAAACTGTAGTCCATCTCTGTCTGAGTGAGATTACCTTTTGGTAGATAGTCTATTTGAAATTCAATGGAAATATGCGGACTACTATTATCCTTGTAAAAAACTCAAGTATTAGTTTTTAATCAACTTAAACAATCTAAGGAGAATATAGTTCTTATGCCTTTCATTTTTTTTAAAAAAGCAGGAGGGGTATTCGAAAGATGGCCCCACTGGACACTGGACGAGGACTTGTGACTGCCGGACTGTGCGACGAAAAACTCGGCTCACCATCCTTTGACCCAGAGGATTCCGTATTGAGCTTTCGTCCATTATGTGATGGGGACCGTGAGAGCAAGAATGTTGATAATGATGCTTTGGCCTCTGATTATTTTTATCACATGAGGAATGAAAGCTCAATACTGAATCATCTGGATCGGAGGATGCTAAGCCGTCCTCTTAGCACAACCCAGCTGTCACAAGTCCAAGGGAATCCTCCTCCAGGGCCCGATAATGCCCATTCGCGATTCCCCTGCATCTGTCTTTTCAATCGAAGGTATGCCAGCATATATTTACAGATTCTTTGTCAGTATCCTGGTTGGCACTGCCATCCTCAGGACAGGTCCATCACTCCTCAAAGTGACAAGTAAAGGCAATCGTGCTGACTAAAGAATTACCTTTCTTGATTGTGTCATTCCTCCTCCCCTCTTGCCCAAGCTCCTAGTGCTGCATCTGTATCTTTCATATTGCAAATTGTGAAAGAATAGATATACCAAAATTTTTCTACAGAGAATTGGTCATGAGGATTGCAGTGACCTCTCATTTAACTAATTTTAGCTGGTTGTCAAGGCTTACTCTTCGCATTGTCAATGCAGACAACGGCTGGTAGTGTATCAAGTCGACGATCATGTGTTGAAAATCATCCTTACCATATAAAGACCGAGGATGTAGAATTGGCTATGCCCTTCAAGGTCTCCTTGAAATCATGATCAAGTTGCGAAAACGAGGTAAATTCAGGTCTATAAATTAAAAAGAGACTGCGATTCAACCTTAGGCCATGTCATCTTGGTCTCCTTATCCACGATAGGATATAAATTTAATACGAGGATATAAGGACCAAGATGGTGTGGCCCTCATTTTTATAAATTCAATAGTTGACGACGACTTACTTTCATTGTATTATTTAACTGCAAAATGTCACTGGGTAACCAACACTCCCGAGAGAAGCCCCGTCCGGAACATACGATGTGGAGAGCGACAGTCTAGCTATGTCGTACAAAGCCCTGGCACCAGTAAGGTACAGACAGGCATGACGCCCAAGAGATACCTTACGGCGGAAATTCATCGTTCGAGATAATATGACTACAGGCCGATCTGTCCCAAGCAGCCCACTCAGACTGAGCACTTATACTGGAGTAAAAACATGTCTGCTTCCAAATTCTTGCGGTCTAGGCTCGGCTCCAGTTAACTGGGTTGGTTTAAGGAAGACAATGTTGGAGCCGAAATACATCAAGATTGGAAGGCACTTAAGACATTCATGCCACAGGAGAACTCGCTGATTGGAGGAAACACTCTTCAACCTACCGATGATAGATCAACTATACGTGCCCCAGAAGCAAACTTAACGATGGTGCCTCTTTTCTTTTAAAGCAAACATTTAACAGTCCATTTTTTGTATGTAAGTAGAGTTTCAAGACTACCAGTAAATCACCCTATTTCGCTTAAGGTGATGAAGGAATGTTAGTAGAATTTCGCCACAATGATATTAGGAGAGCTAAAGTCTCCATTAAATTTCACATAAATTTGCTTTCCCAAAGGTTGTTCTCATCCAAAGTGGACTGCAGTTTCGACCTCGCATTGGTCTTATGAACACTCCCAGCGGGAGTCGAACCGTGACAGTGAAGAATGTAAGCTTGGCACGTTAACCACTCGGCCTTTAGTCACAGTGCAAATGTGAATTTCGAAGAGGGCCAGGCCCTTTCCCATTTCACATTCTTTGGTGGGATTGTCGATTAAGCAAACGTATTTTTGCTATAACAATCGACTACGTTACTTATTTTTCGTCTGTATATATAGTTTCGGGACTAACAGTAAATCAGTAATATGAGACGTATTCACCCTATTTCATTTAAGGTGATGAAGGAA